TTCATCATAGGGTTGCCAGGTCTGGATTGGGAAATACCTGGAGATTTGAAGGGTGGAACCTGGGGAGGGCAGGGTTTGGGGAGCGGAAGGACCTCAGCAGAATATAATACCACAGCGTCCACTGTCCAAAGAAGTTATTTTGTCTAGAGGAACTGATCTTGATAATCTAGAGATCAATCAGAGTAGCAGGAGATCTCCAGGTACCATGTGGAGGTTGGCAACCCTATGTCTGCTGAAATGTTACTGTGGACTTATGTGGTATGATTTCTTGAAGTCACTGACATAAATATGCCGTATTTATTGAGCATTAAATTGCTGATCCCATAACTGCTACCTTTCTGGCTTCTCGATATCCGTGTCTTAGGTTGCTTATGATGCAACTCGATGCAGAGTTACTCCAATCATTTATGGGCTTAGACTGGAGTAACCCTGCACAAGAAAACTCTGCTTGACTGAAAAAGGGTAAGAATCAGTATTTTGAATTGTGCTCAGAAACAAACTTGTAGCCAGTGAAAATCCTTGGGCTCTAGTCGAATGTAGAAGAGAGCAAGAGTCCAGTAGCACCTTAAAGACTAAGAAAATATGTGGCCGGCTATGAGCTTTTGTGAGTCACTGCTCACTTCTTTGGATACAGCAAATGTTACTAGCACCTTATGTTGTTGTTTTAAGATTTAATGCTTTCATTATATTGTTGTTTTTAGCTATTGTATATATGTAAGCCGCCCTGGGCTGCAGTGGCTCAAGTGGTTAAGACGCTGAACTGCAGGCTGGAAGGTCGGTAGTTCAGCAGTTCGAGACCCAAGGACGGAGTGAGCTCCCATCTCTAGTTCCAGCTCCTGCCAACCTAGCAGTTTGAAAGCAAGAAATTGCAAGTAGATAAGTAGGTACCACTTTGGTGGGAAGGTAACAGCATTCCGTGCACCTCGGCATCTAGTCATGCCGGCTACATGACCACGGAAACGTCTTTGGACAACGCTGGCTCTTCGGCTTGGAAACGGAGGTGAGCACCGCATCCCTAGAGTCGGATTCGATTGGCTTTCGAGCAAGGGAAACCTTTACCCTTTACCTAAGCCGCCCTGAGCCTGCCTCAGTGGGGAGGGCGGGGTATAAATAGAATAAAATAAATAAATAAATAAATAAATACATAAAATGTGACTACCTTGACCTGGACGGCCCAGGCTAGCCCAATCTCATCAGATCTTGGAAGCTAAGTGGGGTCAGCCATGTTTAGTGCCTGGATGGGAGACCACCAAGGAATATCAGGGTCAGCTACACCGAGACAGGCAATGGCATGCCACCTCTGAATGTTCCTTGCCTTGAAAAACCCACCCGGGGTTGCCATAAGTTGACTGCGACTTGACATCACTTTACACATACGTGAAATGTGACCAGATCTACAGGATTTCTATATTATTTTATGGTTATGTATTCTTTTGTAAGCCACTTTAAGCAGGCCCTCTGGCAAAGTAGCACAGACATTTTCTAAATAACTCAGTATTCTTTGAAGCAACTGAAGTTTCTCAGAGTTGTTCAAAGGCCTCCCTATATGCCAAAAGCACTGCAGTAATTTGGAAAATGTGTTGTGCAAATGTGCTGGCTGACGGTCAATCAGTGAAGCGTTTCTCCGGCTTAAATGCATTTTCATCCTTCAAAAAACGTCTGCAGGAAAGCATACAAAAGATACCAAGATGGATCAACGAAAATAAATTTATTAAACTTGGAGAAGAAATAACAACACTGACATGAGGCAAGTTAAATATAAACAGAAAGACAACAATTCTTCATATTAGAGTTATAATGGCTTGTGTAACCAGCGAAGTACCAAAGTGACATTCTGAGATTGATTGAGGTATTTAACTAGTTTTTGGTGATTGAAATGCTCCATCAATATAGAAATATAGTATAAGGCTCCCTTGCCCCCGACAAAGACTTACATAGCTTTAATGGCATTAGTGCTGAGTGAGAATCAAAGAAGGCGGCTGTCAGGAAAAATAAGCTGTAACACTTCAGCAGAGTATCTAATACAATTTGTCTTAAAAATACAAGCCAAACACAGAATTTCCTAGTTCCAGCCGCTGAGAAGGCAACACCCTTGCTTATATTTGCCGTTTAGAAAAATAGCTTTTGTTAAAATAGCAAGTATGTCAGAAACATTGATTTCTGAAGTTACTGTTTCTGAACTATATTCCTCAGAAGTGCTTAAGCATAACAGAGCCTCCAGATGTGATTTGGTTTGCTTCAGAAGGCATGTTTACATGATTCAGGATGCTGGGATTTGTTTAAGTTCACACCTGTTGTCTTGAATTGGGAACCTTGGTTCAGGTTTGTCATGCCAGAGGGGTAACCCCTTGGTCACAACTTCAGGTCTCAGTTAAAAATGGCAGCGACCTGCTTATCTAGGGCTGCGGTCACACATGCTTAATAATCCACTTTCAGTGCACTTTCCGACTGAATGTGAACTTACAAAATCCAGTTGGAAAGTGCATTGAAAGTGGATTGAAAGTGGATTAGTTAGTTTGTGTGACTGCAGCCTTTAACTCTACTTGAGATATAGGCTGTTAGTTCTGACAGAGTCCTTCGGATCTGGCTACACATTACACTGAATAAAAAGAAGCAAGGTTCTGACTTTCAGGTAGAATAAGAGGCTGATGGCTTTTCCCTCCTGGTGTCTCTGGTTCTCTCAGCTTATTTCCCTTGGCAATTGGAAGGGACAAGATGAGGGAAGGTTCGTTGAGCGAATAACAAAAAAGGAATGCCCACTTACTACATCTTTAGTTTATCTTCAAGACAAACACCTGCATCTTCACTGAATGCAGGAAGAAGCCTGATGAATTCTTCCCAGTCAGCACCTGGCTATTTTCCATGTGGCAAGTGTAACATGTTGGCAGGATAATCTTCTAACAGTGTGATCCTAAGCAGATTTATTCAGAGGCAAGTCCCTTCAAGTTCAGTGAATCAGGAGAACTGTCGATTAAGGCAAGCATTGGATCAGATTTTGGACTTCGTCTCCTGTTCTTAACAGACTACTCACCCAACTCCAATGGAAACATCGGTCCAGAAGATGCCTACATTTTTAAACAGACCAACGATGACTGTCTTGGCTTTCCGGACTGTTCCAAAGTTTGATGGTCTGCTCCTGTCCTAAAAATAACAACCGTTGGGAGAAATAGCCTCTACAGTCTAAAGGCTCTTTTTCTTAGATTTAAACTGTCTTCTAATTTCTGGCCAGTTTATGTAAGCAAGCCCCACAGGGTACATACTAGTGTGAATGTGTTAATCCAATCTGTAGCTATGGAGTTGGATCCCACCAAACATCTCCACTCATGTAAAAGAGGCTCTTGGGCAAGCAGAAACGTAAGAAAGTAATTGCGAGTAGACCTTGCACTACGTCAGGGGTGCCCAAGGTAAGCCGTGGCAGCCATTTTGTGGCTGGCTCCGCCTCCTGTGGCAACTCTTTTGTGGCAGACCTTTATGGCTGCGCCTATAATTCTTAATGTTGGGGACCCCTGCACTAGGTCAACATGAATGCATTGTGTTTGGACTTGCACAAGATACAGCGCATAGTACATTTCAGCAAGCTGCCTCCTGATAATCATCTTCCTGGATCAAATCATACCCCTTCCTGGATCAAGTCATACCCCATCTCCAAATTGGTCTATTTGGAAGTACCTCAAGTAACCATTTTGGTTTTTATACACAGCAACATTGATCAGAAGGGGGGGAAATCAGTGATTGGTCATATGGTAGCTCTTGCGCAAAGTCTTGTGCAAACAGAAATGCATTCAGTAAAACCTCTGTTCCACGATTGCTTGGCAGGATCCTACCCATGTTCATGACTCTAGATGCACTATTTCCAGCCGTGTGATCAAGGGAACTTATGTTGTTGTTTCTATGCACCTTTTGGTATACATTGGCCCCTGCCACACGGCAGGGGAAAAGCCTCTAAAAGCGCGGCTTTTAAAAGCCACGCCAAAGTTGAGTCGCCGCGGCGGGATCCCACGGATCCCCTAGCCGTGGCGCCTTTTCTCCCCGGCACGATCAGACGCCAGGGAGAAAACACGGCCCTGACGGGGAGCCTGCCGAACTGCGCATGTCGGAGCATGCGCAGTTCGGCTAGGAGCCGGGGATGCGCCGGCGCAAAGACGCGCCGGCGATCCGACGGCCCAGCTTGCGGCGCGGTGTCCGGATGAACCACCTCGGGTAGGTGGTTCACTTTTGACACGCCTCATCGGGGGAAGGGCCGGATCGGAGACGGGAGCGCAATGCCAGCCAGATGTTGGTGTGGGATCGTGCCCGTTTGCTCCGTCTCCAATCCGGCCCACTCCCAGCCCAAAACGCCTCGTATGAACGGGGCCATTGTATATCGATGTGCTCTACAACTTAAGACTTCCCTTGCTCAAGAGCTAGTCGAATTTGACTCTAGGGGGTGGTGCTCATCTCCGTTTCCAAGCTGAAGAGCCAATGCTGCCCAAAGACATTTCCGTGGTCATATGGCCGGCACGGCTACATGCCAAGGCGCACGGAATGCTGTTACCTTCCCACTGAAGCAGAACCTATTTATCTACTTGCAATTTCTTGCTGTCAAACTGCTAGGTTGGCAGGAGCTGAGGCCAGAGACGGGAGCTCATTCCATCACACGGCACTCAGGTCTCGAACTGCTGAGCTACAGACCTTCCCGTCTGCAGCTTCAGCATCTTAACCTCTAAGCCACTGCGGCTCTTTAAGTAGGGAACCTCAAAGTCTGGAACAAATCTAGAGTCAGATGCAGCTGCTTACAGAAGAGAAGAAGAAGAGACTGGATTTATACCCCTCCCTTCACTACCCAAAGGTGTCTCAGAGCTGCTTACAAACTCCTTTTCCTTCCCCTCCCCACAACAGACACCCTGTGAGGTAGGTGGGGCTGAGAGAGCTCTGACAGAAACTGCTCTTTTTCAAGAACAGCTCTTATCAGAGCTACGGCTTGCCCAAGGTCATCCAGCCAGGTGCAAGTGGAGGAGTGGGGAATCAAACCCGGTTATCCCAGATTAGAGTCCACACACTTAACCACTACACCAAACTGGCTCTGGCCCTGGTCCTAATACTTGCCTAGATGACCACTGAAGAAACTAAGCATGGCATGTATGCCAGAAACAGGCCTTTGGGTTGAATCGAATTCATTTATGTTATTTACATTATTTAACCCTTACCTATGTAAACAAAATTTGAGACTGAAGACTGTTAAGGCGTACCTCGAGAAAACATCCATGTAAATAAGACTTAAGCCACACTACTTAAAAGCCTCTCTACATATGCAGAATACGCAGAAAGAAAAGAAAAAAAGAAATGTGCATTGTTAACAATATTATACTGATTTCCATAACTTCACTTTGATTCAGAGCGTGAGCTTTACACACATTCTGGAGCCCTGACTCGGCTTTAACTCAGAGTCGTTTTCTGAGTCAAGAACCTCAGAATCTGATGTGAAGTACAGTTGTTGTTAAGTCACCCGTGCTGCTTCTTGTGTGCTTCAAAACTTTCCATAAAAGTGTAGTTGTGGTCCTGAAGATGTCCAAATCCATTTTAGTTCTTGCTGCTATACAAATTGTGTAATGATGGTTGCTGGGGCAAAAAAACCCTGGTGACAGAAAGTCTCTGTTTTGTACTTACTGCATTTTGCTCTAAAGCACAGAAGCACGGATAGTATTTCAAGAATCAAATAGGTTCCAATAAAGTATTGTAGCAACTTGACACTGAGAATGCTCTGTAAATTTTGTGGAGGTATAAAAACGTTTTGTAAAAAATACTTCTTTCCCTTATATTCTTCTCGAAATTGCAGCAATGACTGCAAGCATGTACATTCTAGAGATGGGTCATTATAATTAAACTACAGTGTGCAGTGTGCATATAAAATATCCATGCCTGCTTGTCTAAAGTATTAAAATAGGTATATTTATATAAATCAAAATAAATGTATTTATTGAAACTATTTTTGATTTCCTACATATTTTCTTCAGCTCCCAGTATAAACATCTTGGCGTGTGATGCGATTTCACATCGAATATTCAGACTTCAAAAACCACCTGCTATTAGCTTTTCGAACAAAGACGGTTTATGGTACATAACAAAGCCATCCAGTTTCTTGAGAACGACCCCAAACCGACACCGACAATAACAAAAGACGGTCACTGCTACTGAAACCAGCCTCTGCAACATTTCAAAAGACGATATTTACAAAATACGGCAGCAATACTGTGACTGATTCAACATCTCAGAATAAAAAGGAAGGGGCTACGTCCTCCCTCTCCCTTTGAAAATATTGAGCACATTTGTTTTGGTTTAAGCATACAAGCCCAAGTCAACTCTATGCCACTTAAATATACGGAGATATATATATGTCCCGATTCAAAGGCTCCAGTGTGCATGCAGGGGCTCCGACACATACATGGAGCTCCCCATAAACATGACCATTCATTTCAGTATTAAGGAACGCTTTGCAATTACGGAAAGTATTCCGTGGCAATGAAATGAATCAGGGAGCCCCTTTTTTCGAAAAGCTCCACATGTGCATTGGAACCCCATGGAGGCATTTGGGAGGGGGGTGTCACACCATTTTTCACATGAAAGCTATGGCAGGATTTTGTTCAGTTGGTCTGTGCTCACATAGCCACACGATAAGAAGAATTCTTTGTCTGGCACAGGGAGGGCTGTAGCATTGAGCACAAGGCCCTGTGGAGATTGTACCACGTGAATGGAGGTATAGTCCGCCACAGGCATGTCAGAACTTTCGGCGTCTTCTTCCACTGCTGCTGTGGTGGTGTTCACAGCATTAGTGGTAAGGCTCTCTGTGGCGAAGTAAGCACCCTCAGGAAAGCTCTGCTCTGGAGCTTCTGGCTCAGCCCCTTCTTGAGGCGTCACAGTGATACATTTTTTCACATCCAACTCACAGAAATAGGCACTGTCCATGGCAAAATTTGGCTGGCACTGCACAGTGGGTTCTTTCTGAACCTCACTCAGGGGTTTCCCCATCTTCATTTTTTGCCCTGGAGAAAGTACAACACTTCCTCCTGGCGTAATGTCACTGACTTGCGTGTAAAAGTCAATGTTTGCGACTGAACTCTGGTTGCTTAGCTGGGTTCGGACAGGAGGGCTGGTTACCTCAGTGCTGTTATAAACCTGGGTTTTTGGTTGCTGGTCTTCTGGTGAATTATCAGATGGTGGCTGAGTATTCGAGTTGTCCTTCTTGCCGTCTTTTTGATCAAGGCACAAGAGATCCTCTTCTTTTTCGTTTGCCTTTTTGGACTGACCAATGTCCGAGGTACCATCGCATGTATCACTTGCGCTGAAATCGGTCTCTGGGATATCTGGCTCACAGCAGCTGGCCCGCCCAGAATCATCGTCCCTCACTCCAAGACAGCTATGAGACTTCAGGTGGTCGTCACCAAGAAGCCTGTCAGTATCCGACCCTCCAGTTCTCTCTTCAGCATCATCTATATCCAGCTCAATGAATTCAACCCAAGAGTCATTGCCATACAGTGGTGGTAAGTAACTACCATGACAGGCGAGGATGGAATTGACTTCATCAAGTTTTCCTTTCTATGAAACAAAATTTTAAAAATGGTTATGAAAGGAACAATTGTTTATTTTTATATTTATTTAAGGGGTTGGATCCCATCCAAAACCTCATAAGAACATAAGAACATAAGAGATGCCAATGTTGGATCAGGCCAAAGGCCCATCCAGTCCAACACTCTGTATCACACAGTGGCCAGAAATACCAGTGCCATCAGGAGGTCCACCAGTGGGGCCAGGAAATTAGAAGCCATCCCACTGTTGACCCCCCCAAGCACCAAGATGACAGAACATCACTTGCCCCAGAGTCCCTATCTACACCTCCACTAATGGAAGGGACCTCTACCAGTGGCAAAGGACTTCCCTACCTCCACACACTTTCTGCAGCTCAAAATGCCCCCCAAAAGGCATCTTCCTCCGGAAAGGGGGAACATAGACCCCCCCCAAAGGAACAGCATGAGAAAGAGCTGGAACTTTGCTCTGGGAGGGGATAACAGAATAACATTTTGCCCCCCGTCCATCAGTGATAACTTCTATTGGATCCAACCAAGGCACTGATATCATCCCTTTCAAATATGCAAGGGGGGGGGGACTCACCCAAGGTGTTGAACAATTTTTTTAGTCACAAAAATATCATAATAAAATCAACTAAGAGCAAATGTATGTAAAATTCAACAAACTGCATCAGAAAATAAAGAATCAAAATGCAGCAACTTAGTAAAAGCAATCCATAAACACAGTAGGCAATAGCGACATCCAAAACTGTACAGTTTACCCGTCGTCAAAACATTCATAGACTGGAAGATGGGGAGTAAGGGGCATGATAAGTGAAAAAATCCAGTCCAATCTCTCAGGCAAAGCAGAGCATCTGCTGAAGACCTCTCAGGCTTCTACAGTCAGAAGAGAGGTAGTGGCACTTCAGATAACCTTTTAAGGCCACTCTTATGTTCTCCATGGAAGATCCAACCAATTCTGTGTTTAATCAAGCAGTGCCCCATCAAACCATCTTTTTTGCCTGCTCCAGTCAAAATAGGTACGCAATTATAGGCGATTTATACATATATAAGGCCACTCGAAGATTTGATTCCACAAACCTATTGTGGATGTCGTTGGACAACCCTTGTTTGTTTGTTTATGTAAAACATTTTTATGCTGCCTTTCTGCCCAAATAAGGTCCCCAAGGTGGAGAATGTGAAAACATCTGAACATTAAAACAGCATCTAAAATAATATATAAAAACAATTCAATAGACACATACAAACACATAACACAGAAACCAGGGAGGAGGTTCTTAGTTGTTAGCTAGCGCATCACTTTATAATGTTTATGTCACATGCTACTGTAATAGTGATCACTCTGCCAAATGGCTTTGTATAACATCTCCAAGTTACCTTTAAGAGGTCTGGATCAATCCCTTTAATTTTGGGGACTGGAACAGGAGGAAGGATCAGTATCTTTAACCTTGAAAAGAAACATTTACATTTAATAAAAAAACTCTGAAATAGTACATCGTGAATGACTATGCAGAAAATTTAAAATGTTTATGTATCACAAACTTGACTGATGCCACACTGAAAGCGGGGGCATTACATTTTTGACTGCTCTCCCATATTACCTCCAAAATTCTCTGAAAGCTGATGTACTAGTTCATTCGTGGACATTAATTTTTCTGTTCATGGCCCCACCTACTCCTGAGAAACATTCCCACTGCAAACAGAACAGGCAACCCCAGAGTATACTCCAGTTTTTTGGCTAATGTTCTCACTTGCTCTTGCAGTTATCAAAGTAGAAAGAAACTAGCAAGAAAGATGCAAAGAGCCCATCAAGAAAAAGTTATGAAAGAACAGTTTAAAATGAATTTGGTGAGGAAGGTGTAACCTGGCTTGGCTCTAGTCATCTTGCCCTCTCCTCATACCCCTTTCCTTCCTAGGAAATTTGGACAAAACTGTTTGCACATTTCCCCTTGTATCTTGTTATCAAAAAGGGTTAAAGATTTCTTTTTCCCAATGAAAGCTGGGAATTCAGGAAGGGGGGCAGGACAAATTTCTGAGGGGACATTGCCCTTCTGAAGCATTGCTCTTTTATACCCCCTGTAGCCACAAAGGCTGAGTTCAGACTGGCAGTTTGAAGCGGGAGGGAGTCGTGGCAAAAAAGACCCGGAACAAACTGTTCCGGGTTTTCCCGGTCACACTGCACCGACTGATATGGGAGCATACCGGGGAGGAGGCACAAGGGAGCGTTCACACTGCTGGCCTGCCCCTGGCGGAGGCACGGCTGTAAGGCGCGGCTTTCTTTTTGGTAATCTGGAGACATGCGCTTATGTGCATAAGCGCATAAGGGCACAACCCCCCCACGGCTTTTGGCATTCACACTTTGTTGGTGTGGGATGGACACGGGATAATTGTGCTTTCCAGGGTTTGATACCACTTTCACCTGGTGTCTTTTAAACTCGGGAGGGAAGCGTTACAAGGCAGGTTGAGTATGGCTGGGGAACACCGGACAGATGTGCCTGTGTGAAACGTTCTGGCACGTGCCTATATCGGGCCAAACTGCCAGTCTGAACTCGGCCAAAGTTAATCTGAAGTGGTACAATCTGGAATTCTACTTCCCTCCTTCTGGATAGTTTGGCTCTGCAGGAGGCAGTAGATTCCTGAGCTGACAGAATGGTTTTACCGCTGTAATCCATTACATTCTTTATTATATTCTAGGGTAGCCAATTGGAGCTTTGGTATGCAGTCAAGATGGGGTTACTCAACATGTATAATGCTGAGTAATCTCAGTCTCCACACATCTTGGGGAAAGCCTAGCAAACAGTCAAAAGGCAAGAGGAAGAGAAATAAACGGGAGGGCAACCAACCCTACAAATTTAGCCAACTGAGAGGTTTAATTCTAATGAGTGACACTTAGCCTGCACTGAAAGCTGGACAAAAGTGTAATGTACAATTAATATGGAACTTAAATGTATACTGTTTCTAGACTTTGCAAACAGTGTAAAGGCATCACAATCAATCTTTAATGCTTTTTGATGAAACAGTTTATGTTTAAGTATCAAGATGTGCATGTTTGTTCTTTGTTCTGGTCTGAATACCTACTGAAGATGGATAATAAAGGCTTCACTGTCAGATTCAATGAAACTTCCCTCGCTTTAGTATTCAATCACTTTGTGACTTATATGTGTGTCACAGAGGTTTTATTATCTGACAGAATGGAGTCTCTTGGAAAGCCTGTCCATCCCACCTTTGTTTTTGTCTACAACCACCAGCAGGATTTATTTGATTTTACTGAATAAAGTTAGAAAATGTATTAATCGATGGTGTGGGGGAAAAAAAAGATCAGTAGCAAACTCACTTCTGCTGTTTGGAAAAGAGGATAAGCGATAGCATCACCATCACACCAAGGGTTCCAAAGGCTATCACCAAAGACCAAGGGACCTGAAATTCTGAAAAACAAAACAACCAGAGAGTTGTGTCATTTCCTCAGTTTCTTTATCTTAATAGTGAAAGATTCTTGCTTGTTCATGCTGGATTATTTTGGTTGCCTTGTGTGTGTGTGTGTGTGTGTTTGTGTGTGTTCGGATAACCCAGATTTCTTTAGCAGGACCAAACAATTTGTAATCCAGTTAAGGTAAAGGTAAAGGTTCCCGTGCTCGAAAGCCAGTCGAATCCGACTCTAGGGTTGCAGTGCTCATCTCCATTTCAAAGCCGAAGAGCCAGCGCTGTCCGAAGACGTTTCTGTGGTCATGTGGCCGGCATGACTAAACACCAAGGCGCATGGAACGCTGTTACCTTCCCACTGAAGTGGTCCCTATTTATCTACCTGCAATGTCTTGCTTTCGAACTGCTAGGTTGGCAGGAGCTGGAACTAGAGACGGGAACTCACTCCGTCATGTGGCACCCGGGTCTCGAACTGCTGAACTACTGACCTTTCACAGCCTACAGTTCAGCGTCTTAACCACTTGAGCCAACGCAGCTCCTAATCCAGTTAACAGTCTTAAAAACCTTTTTGCTTAGTAAATACTAAAGAACATTCGTTCATCAGCTGGGATAAGAAACATTTAATTTTTCCCCCCTGAATATCAATGTCTTGAAAAGTCAGTTTCAACATTTTAAATATTTACAAGCACAGCTTTTCTTACTCTGCTTTCTATCTGGCCCTTCCAAAGCTAAAAACCCACATTTTATTTCATACTTTCTTTAGTCCATATTTAGGTTGGACCTCAGCTTTGAGCTGTTTTCAATTTTGTTTTTCGTTTGTCAGCATTTTTTCCACGGAGCAATAAACCATTAATTAATATTAGCTACTGGACTGCAGTACTGATTACAAAAACCACAATTGAAAGGTGGGATGAATAATAATTGAAGAGGTAAAACTGTGTCAGAACTGGTCTGTTTGAGACACAAACAGGGATAAATGCTCCTCCGTACATATTTATAAAAAATCTTTGCACACAAAGAAGTAGCATTTGGGGGAAAGGCTTTAGTATTGCCTTGCTGACCTGTTAGTTTTCTAAGTATAGGGATTTTTTTGAAAATGGTTGAAGATTCCATCATGAGACCACTTACTGGCAGTTTTAAATGTCAGTGTCCAGATACTGCTATTTGTGAGAACTAGGTCTTAAGGCAGGGCACATAAAAAAAAACACGCCCTGCTACCTGAATCATGCAAGAAACCATTTCACATGTATTTGTTGTTACTGGCAGGAAGTAACGGTAGAGGGTTTTTGTCATCTTCTGCAAGCTTGTTTGAATTGAGCAGCGTAACCAGGTTCAGCTTCCACTAGCCTCTTCTGTCTGCGCTAGGCAGAGAGGACCAGGGAAAGTCCAATGGTAGGTGTACTCTGTTATGACTGGACCCTGAAACCATGGCAACTGTTTATTTTCCAAAGAGGGGAGGATCAGAGAAAACAGGAACTTGGTTTCAGTGGGAAAACCAACCCATTTGGCCTACCTGCCAAAGGTGCTGATAAAAAGGCATCATAAAAACCTGATGGGGGAGAGAGCCCTGGGCTATGTGCCAAAGGACCACATTGGCAGAGCTCAGAGGATCTCCCATGAGGGGCAGGAACCCTAACACTGGATTGGGGTGGTGGTGGTGTTTTCACCCAAGCAAGCAAAGAATCTCTTTTACATAGCAGGATTTAGATTTAGAGGCAAATTGTTAGACCATAAAAACAAGAGCACTGAGTTTAAAGTAGTTTCCAGACTTAATAGTGTTTTTTAAAAACCACCTTCTTAATTAACAGCCTGGGTGAACAGAAATGTTTTGGCCTGGGCCCTAAAAAAATGCAGTGTAGGAACTAGGTGAGCTTGAAGAACAAAGGCATTCCATAAATGAGGTGCCACTACTGAAAAAGCCTTGTCTCTGCTTGCCACCTGCTTCACCTATACTATGCAAACGGGACTTTGCTATTTATTTCCACCATTTCTTTGGGCCTTGCTAGTCATTCAGAGCACCAAGGAGCTAGACAAGGCACAGCAGCCCTGAATGAGAAATTGTCACCACTGGATACTTAAGAGAGGAGAAAGACTCACAAAGGATTAGGGCTACACTTCACTCCCTATCCATCACTACAAGGCTGATGGCCTGGATACTCAGCTGGAACCAGCTGCAACAGAATTGGAGCACTTTCCTCATCCAGCCAAGGTTTTGATAAAATAGTCAGGCCTATTTCTCTTCCATAATATGTCTCTTTTTCAGGTGTTTAGGAGAAATGCCCTGTAAGCTACCTCAGGACCTCAAGAGTTCCCTGGATTCTCAATAAACAAAAAAACCCTGCCACCCCCCAAAGAACAGCCTTTAGGGGCTTTTGCATCTTTCCTTCTAGTGTCTAGGACTTCATTTAAAAACAGAGGATGATTTGATTGGACATCCAAAAGCACACCATAAAACAAAAATCCTTCTGGACAGTAACTACCACACAACCTGTTCTAGCTTCACTCCACTTTAAAAAGAAGACCACCCTGTTTTGATTCAGGTGTACCTGCCATGCTGCAGTGCAAACCATATCAGTATCCAGCCTCCACTAAGGTTTGATTGAAATCCTCTGAGTATTCGTTCACACGAAACCTTCTTTGTCCCCCACCCTTACTCAGCCCATGTGCGATATAGTAAATTGGAGAGGGGGGCACAAGCAGTGCGCACTGTGCCCTGAAAACATCAGAGGCGCTGAACGAGCTACACAGCCAGTCTCTTAATTACTGGGGGAATCTGAGTCCACGACAAAGATGTAAATTGGAAAAAAGTATTTTAAACTGAGTAAAGCTAGACTTGTGTCTAGTAGTAGAGCTCAGGATACCCTTTTCTCACTTACCTTCATCGCATGGCACCAGGCCCATTGCACCAAAAGACACATAAAGTATTTCACTGAACTCTCCGTAGATATCAGACGGTCCTTTTGCTCGGATTCGTATCTCATAGTCATGGCAAGTCTTCAGAGCGTACACAGGAAGTTTTGTTGCCAAGACCGGTGTCTCCGGCTGTAATGATAAATTAAATGTGGATAGACAGTGTGGTTTAATGGTTAGTGTCAGACCAGGATCTGGAAGATCCTGGTTTGAATCCCCACTCAGCTGTGGAAGCCTGACACACTCACCACTCAGCCTTATCCTACCTCACAGGGTGATAAAATGGAGAAAGGAAGAATGGTGTGTCAGCCCTTTTGGGTCACCATCGGGGAGGAAAAAAAACCGGGGTGTAAATAAAGTAAATACTCATACGAAAAGGACCAAAGAAGAACTCTGCTTGACAGACCACTGGTCCATGTGGTTTAGTAGCCTGTTTCCTAAAACGGCCAACTAGATGTCCCTGGAAGATCTGCAAGCAAGGCATGGAGGCCAACGCCTCCCCCTCTTACGTAAAAACATAAGAGAAGCCAATGTTGGATCAGGCCAATGGCCCATCCAGTCCAACACTCTGTCACACAGTGGCCAAAAATACCAGGTACCATCAGGCGGTCCAGTGGGGCCAGGACACTAGAAGCCCTCCCACTGTTGCCCACCCCCCAGCACCAAGTATACAGAGCATCACTTGCCCCAGACTGAGAGTTCCTATCTATACCTCGTGGCTAATAGCCACTGATGGACCTCCGCTCCATATGTTTATCTAATTCCCTCTTGAAGCTGTCCATGCTTGTAGCTGCCACCACCTCCTGTGGCAGTGAATTCCATGTGTTAATCACCCTTTGGGTGAAGAAAAACTTCCTCTGCTCCATATGTTTATCCAATTGCCTCTTGAAGCCATCTTGTTGTGCACTGGCTGCTGGTATGTAGAGGTAGACTGCCACTGAAAAGCCTACACGAATTTGTGAAATCCCTTTTTAAAAGCCATCTAGGCCAGCAACCATCACTACATCCTGTTGCCTGCTCATGAACAAAAGCCTCCATAAACTCTTTCTTAGACAGAAAATCTTATGAAAGGATTAAGCCTGGAATGTATGTATGTATGTATGTATGTATGTGTGTGTGTATATATCTATATCTATATATCAATCACAGCCCTACAAGACAAATGCAAGGGCAATACTTTCTGTATTACAACAGTTACACCAACACATTTAAGAATCTGCAGTTACCAGGATATCTAGTTTTAGTCCAGTTTTTGTCATACTGTTAGAACACAAGAACTGTCTTGCAGAATCAGACCACAGCTCATTTAGTTTCCAATCTATTTCCAACAGTATTATCGTCTGCCAACTAGCATTCAGAACTCCACTTACTCTGTATGCGGAGGTTTCACTTAGAAGAAGAGTTGGTTTTGTACCCCGCTCTTCACTACCCAAAGGGGTCTTGGGGTGGCTTACAATCACCTTCCCTTCCTCTCCCCATAACAGATACCCTGTGAGATAGGTGAGGCTGAGAACGTTCTGAGAGAACTGTGACTGACCCAAGGTCACCCAGCTGGCTTCATGAGGAGTGGGGACTCAAACCCAGTTCTCCAGAGTAGAGACCACCGCTCTTAACTAAGCTGTTGCAGCAAACAGTCAATGAAATATCCTTAAATCCTAGAAAAATTATTGTCTGAACCACATGGCCAAGCTGCACACTGGTGAGAGGATCCACAACTGATCCATTACGTTCTGTATACTGTGCTGGACAGCTATGCACAGTTGTGAAGTCCATGCAAAAAGAATCTATAGCTTTGCATCCACAAAGGGTCAACCATAATATTAGATTACAAGGGCCCTCCAAGGATGGATAGAACAAAACTATCCCTATTAAAACTTTCAGGACTCTGCACAGACTACCCAGGATTTCACCATCATGAATAACCTTGGTGCCTTATGCAAACTTAGTGATCACACAGTTTCACAAATGATAGCAAATCATTTATAAATTAATGTATTAGCATTGCTCCAACAATATCATTGAGGGTCCTTCACTGCAAAAACTGTCCATTCTGCACGTAGTCGAAATGTGCAGTGTAACCATCCTCTAAGTAGGTTCAGGAGGGTAGCCATGTTGGTCAGCAGTGAAGACCTAGATTCGAGTCTCAGTAGCACCTTAAAGTCCTCCAAGGGCCCCGGTCACACAAGCGGAAAAATCCGCACTGGAAAGGAGGCATTTTAATGCCGGATCAAAAAGATGTGCGGTAACGTGATCATACGGTTCCCCGAGGTGCCGCGCATACGCCGATAGCCGGCGATCACACGGCAATGTTGAAGCGTATCAAAGGCCATGAAGAACCGGCATGGTGCAATCAGACGTGCGGCGCTCGGCACCAGACGGTCACATTTGGTGCGATGGGACACATGTGCGTGCCGGATGCGCCAGATTAACTCTGCTTCCACAATCCGACGCTCGCCTGCGATCCGCGTTTTCCAGATGCTACTACACTTTTGCTGGTACTTTTAAAATCCGCTTCTTCAGGCTGATGGTACAGGTTGGTGACAGGTGCGCTACGCTTCCCAGATGTTGCCGTATGATCGCGCCCGTTTGATGCGCCCTCAATCCGTCCGTTTCACTTTTGTGAAAGCTTATTCCCTGGAAATCTTGTTGGTCTCTAAGGTACTGCTGAACTGGAATCTACATCCTATAAATTTCTACTAAAACTCACCATTCTAGGACCTCAAGACTCCAATTGCTTCTGTTTATTGCAAAGCCAGTCTAAAATACCATCAGAGGATGTGGCCTCTGCTGGTTTATTCTGTGAAATGCAGGATACTTTTGTTGTGAGGGAAATTATGTATGCGAGTAATGGCTATTATTACAGACTGGTGTTCCGTTGTTATCCTACAGTGCACGATTTAAATCCGATTTGACGACTACAAGACAATGAGCCATAATTGTCAGTTAATACTATGCAATTAAAGGAAACCTTGTTTTGAAATAAAATTACTTCTCTAAGGATGCAAAATGAGGAATTAATCATTTTAAAGTACTAGGGTCATTTGAACACTATATTTGAAATTCATTAAACCCCATTTGAGATTAAAGCAGCTGTAATTAAGGCTGCTTGTAAAAATCTTAAAAGCGATCGTTAAAACAGCTGGAAAAAATGCTAATAGCAAATAATGCAAATGGATTTTAAAAAGTGAAAACACAATATTGTTTCTGTTGGGACCAAAAAATGAATTGATGCTTCACTGTTTTCATTGCAAATTCAGTGTGGACAAAAAATGTCAGGTTTTTAGTGGCTACCTCCCCTTGACAACTGGTTTTATTGCAAACGTTTTATGCATAGTGTTATAGAAATGGATGTTTATCTGCAGGTCAGGACTGGAGCTAGTCCTGTGCTACTCTGCTGTCAGAACACCAGAAATCAACATGCAGTTCAGAATATTTAAAAGTGGAATTATACGTTTCATTCAAGTGTGCCTGTCCACTGGTATTGGACTAACCAGATATTTCTGTTGGTGGATGGAGTGAGCACTAAGGAGGTCTACTAAGAAGTAAGTAGCATTTTATACAAGAAGACTTACTCCCAGGAAAGTGCTTTTAGGACTGCAGCCTGAGTCTACCACATAAGCAAGCCTCTGTCCAACAGACAAATGTAGATGCCAATAAGAAAGGTCCATTGTGCAGTCTTCCCATCATTCTAGGGCTTCACTCTGACCTTCGGGTCAAGAATCTGGATGTTCTCTGCATGGGAATGGAGCTTTAGGGGGCCTCTGGCTCCTCTCCTCCCATACATACCTCATTCCATTTTGTCCCATTGACGTCTTTGTACTGCAGCTGATACTTCAGAGTGACCCATCCTTTTTTAACATCTGCGGAAGGTGGAGGCTCCCAAGTGACTTCAATATCTGTGTAGACACCTGTTGGGCTTGTGTTTAGTATACTCCAGTTGAGTCCAATGGGAGGGTCAGGGATTACTGTGAATTAAAACACAAATGTTTTCCAGTGAGTACAGAAAATATCTTTTCCAATATGAACTTCCTCTCTGGATATCTCTCCCACAAGAAACTGGGAGACTTCTCCAGCAGGCTTTGTGACACCACAGAATTTTCTGAGGCAATCTCTCAGGTATTAGTTAAGGGAGTGGAAAATGGCCTTCTGGCACTCTTTACCCGTGCCTCATCCTCCTCAAACTGGGTATGAAGGCAGAATGTGTGTGTGTGTGAACATAAGTGTGTGAAAATGGAGGTGGGGCATGAGGTATAATAAGAGAGACACCACAGGTAGCTTTGCTCAAGGCTCACCAAAATCAAGAGCTAGCTCTGGGCATGTTGGAACCAGGGGCAAGGTGAACGGGCAGAACGGGTGTGGAACTGGGCAATGAAATGGTCCAGGTTGTGTATGTAGGAACTGGGGATTTGGAAGAAGTAGGGCAAGATGCTGAAAAATTAATGGTTTTGGGATAATCTAGAATGTGCAGAGGAAGGCACGATTTTATAAAATGTGGTGAAAAACTAAAACATATGTCTCCTGCCATTTTTGACATCAGAATGTTTGTAGGGAGAATGGACAGATCTGCCCAAATGCGTAACTACATTTAGTTTTCAAATTAATATGCACCAAGAAACTTTGTGTATAGAAGTATTTTGTTAAAAAGCAGGACATAGTACATTGTGAAAGTATACCTATGTCTTCAACGTTTACATTTTTTTCATCATATGTTTGATTTCCACTTATTAGCTTGATACAATAAGGAACCCAAATAGAGGTGTACGTTGTGTTGAAGTAACAGCTGTTTTCACCGGCAGTTATATAATCAGGACATTCTTTCCATTCACTTAGCCTAGAACGATAGCAAAATTACACTGAAAAATGCACACATCATGAACATTCTAAGAAAAAAATTACATTGGGTTTGAGAAAACAAAAATATTATTTTCACTCCACCCCATCAAATAAGCGAATTTGAATTTTATGTTTCTATTACCTCATGCAAGTAGCCATGACATTTTGCCCTATTTTCCTAGAGTAAATTCTCTAATGTGTTAAACAGTTGAAGGGATATGGCAAATATCATTTATATAGAATCGTAGAATCACAGAGTTGGAAGGGACCTCCAGGGTCATCTAGTCCAAACCCCTGCACAATGCAGGACATTCACAAATACCTCCCCACCCCACCCCATGACCCCTGCTCTGTGCCCAGAAGAGGGGGGGAACCCCTTTAGGATCCGTGGCCAAACTCGCCTGGAGAACAATTGCTTCCTGACCCCAAAGTGGTGATCAGCATTTCCCAGGGCATGTAAGAAAGGGCCACAAGAACTAAGCACTGAGGCAACCCTTCCTGCCCTCCCTCTTATGATCTGCCGAAGTTCACACAATCACCATTGCTGTTCGATGGCCATCTAGCCTCTGTTTAAAAATGTCCAAAGAAGGAGAGCCCACCACCTCCTGAGGAAGCCTGTTCCACTGAGGAACTGGTCTGTCAGGAAGTTCTTCCTAATGTTTAGCCAAAAACTCTTGATTTAATTTCAACCCATTTGTTGAAATTATATCTGTTCCTCAACTGTGGGTTGGTGAGGGTGAGACAGTGACAGTAGGCACTGGGAGAGGGAGGGGAAGAACAGTGACAGAGAAGGGTGGGGTAGAAAGAAAGAGAGAGGTTACGATTGACAGGAATAGTTGGGAGAATAAAGAGAGAGGGCATAAGTGACAGAGAAGGGTTGGGGGAAACAGGAAATAGCAAATGCAGGGGGAATTGGATAAGGCAGCTACATGTGTGTTCAAGAAACAGAAGCCCCTAGTGGTCATTGCTAGGCAACCACAGCATTTTAGGCTTGGTTTCTGTGACTAAAAGGCAAGGCCAGGGCCCTTTTCAAAGCTGTTTTGGCCTCTGAGGAAGGACTCATTGGGCCAAGTCTGGCAGCAACCACCAGTCTACAAGTGACTATGTAATTTTCATGACTCACCTAGGCCTGTCTGCTTGCTACTATTCAGAGCAGCCACCATATAAAAGCCAGTGTGGTGTAGCAGTTACACCTTCATGCTAGGGTCTGGGAGATCTAGATTCAAATCACCAGTCTGTCATGGAAGCTCACTAGGTGATATAGGGCCATTTACTTCCATTCAGTCTAACCTACCTCAATATGTTGTTGTGAGAATAAAAAGGAGAACAATGATGTAAGATGTTTTGCTTCTCACTATGGAGAAACACAGGGTATAAGTGAAGAAGATAACTAATAAATATAGCAGAAGGATAGTAAAAGGTAGGTTGATGAACAGCTGAGAAGGTGAGAATGAGGCAGGGAAAGGGGAGAGGATATGGGAGTTTCCAGGAGGAGGAGGAGGAGGAGGAGGAGAAGCAGCAGCAATTGGATTTATACCCCGTCATTCACTACCTGAAGGAGTCTCAGAGTGGCTTACAATCTCCTTTCCCTTCCCTTCCTCACAACAGACACCCTGTGAGGTTAGGGTTGCCAAGTCTTATCGACTTACCGGCGGGGGAGTGCTGCAGGGCTCCGGGAGCTCTCCTCTGACGCGCGCCGCCAGCACATCCCTGAAGTGACGCGCTACGCCGATCACGTTGGGGGCGTGGCCCAGATCGTCGGAGGGAAAACCATAGAGTTTTCCCTCCGACGATCAGGGCCACGCCCCCAACATGATCGACATGGTTACGTCACCTCTGGTGACGCAGCCATGCTGCGCTTCGGGGGGGGCGGAGTTCCCCCGGGCCCCGATTCTGCGGCGGCAGAAATCGGGCCTCCAAAGCGGGGGTTTACCTGCTGCCCGCCCCCACTTGGCAGCCCTATGTGAGGTAGGTCAGGCTGACAGAGCTCTCTCAAGAACTGCCCTTGAGAGAACAGCTCTGAAAGAATTTATGACTGACCCAAGGTCACACCAGCAGCTGCATATGGAGGAGTGGGGAATCAAACCTGGTTCTCCCAGATTAAAGTCCACGCTCCTAACCACTACACCAAACTGGAGGGGAAAAGGAAAGGGATACAGGAGAAAGTGATGTTCCCGCCCACAAGTCCTTGAGGGTTCTCTACCATGTAAGTGGGCTTGGCCCAGTGGCCGGCACCACACAACTGTATCATAGTTTTCATAGTTAGAGGCTGGGGGAGGGGACTGAAGACAGGAGGGAAGCAGATAAAAGTAGGTTGGTTGTTGGGTGGAAAGGAGAGAAGGAAGGAGGGAAAGGAGAAAAGCTGTAGAGGCTGTCAGGGAAGGGAAAGACGAAATAGTGGAGAAGGGGAAAATGAGATGCTCTCCCCACAAATCCTTATGGTTTCCCACTTGTAGGGCACTTAAACATCTATTTGGATCCTGGGCTTAATGAAAAATAAGTTTTGATAGTTCATATGAAAACAGTTGTGAGCTGAACCAGCAAGGACGCCATGGCTAATTTCATGATGTCCAGAAGCAATAAACTTAGGGCAAGATACTAACTGACTAAAGTGAGGGAGAGTGTTCTAGAAGTACCCGGTGGTTACTGTATGAAACAGGATGCTGGTCTAGATGGACTTCTGGCCTGATCAAGCAGTGACCTTATATTCTGTGTTTCTTCACGCCCCAGTTATTTTTGTATACTCTGTGAATGGAACTCAAACTTTTGAAAGGTTCCAAAAGCACTAGGATCTCCTGGCTACCAAGTAAATAACAACTGAGATTTCTTAGAGCTAGCGCTCATCTAGGGCCAGGAAAACAGATGTTTCTCTGGTTCTGTCATTTTTTTAAAAAAAAATCTGGTGGGAAACAGCAGGATTGTTCTGGAATGGACCAATCATCCACATACTACCCAGTCACCACATTGTCCCCTGTTCACTAATTTAATCTGTTAACTACAAATTGCCCTTAGGAGTCTCTGTAACTGTAATCCTAAACAAGATCACACTATGTTTTGTGCAGAATCATGGCCAGCATAAAGGCTACTGTGTGTGAAAAAACTATTTTCATGACTTTCATCTGGGTGTTTCTGGTGCCATAACATGGAATGGATTTAATCTTAGGCAGCGATTTCAAGCGGATGACTGACTTGTCTTTACCTTTTTTTATACATCAGTTGAATGTTTTCTGGGGCCGTCAAACTGTGAAAATCACCGTTGTTCCAGTAACAAGAAAATGTTTCCATTTCAGGTGATCTGCACTTGATGATATGCGGTCTTTCTGAAAGGAAAAAGAAAGGAAATGTTAACTGTATTTCCAAAGAGAGAAAAATACAGAAACTGATTAAAAGAAAAGAATTCAAAATAATGCATGTTCATACCATCTGGTCTGAACTAAGTGGTGCTATAAATTGCTCCTGCCATCAATTTGCCCATTCTGTGTATTACATTTGTTACTATATTGACTATAAGAATACGGATATGGTAAAAAAAAAAAGTCAATTCTATATTGCCCACTGGACTCGCATTTAATTTGCTTTCTCTCACTCATGCACTCTTCTACTTCCTGAGAGGTGCCATTAGGTAATTTCGCTAATGGTATTTATAAAATATGATTACGAAAAAGGAGTCTGACCTCACTTTCTTGAGAGGTAAGACATTACAAGGGTGATGGGCAGGGGTTTTTTTGTAGAAAAAGCCCAGCAGGAACTCATTAGCATAATAAGCCACACCCAACAGCAGAAACTCATTCGCATACTAGGCCACACCCCTGACAGCACAGCTCATTATCATATTAGGCCACACCCCCATGTCTCCCCTTGGCTTGCCCCGGCGCCCTGTGGCTGCAGGGAGCCTGGGCAAGCCAGCCCTTGAACAGGCCAGGGAAGGCATGGGGAGGCCAGGCACACAGAGGTTTTGTAGCCAGGCACGCAGAGGTTTTGGCTGTAGTGGGCGTGGCCAACTCTGAAGACAGCTGAAACTCTATTCCTGTGCGTTCCTGCCCCAAAATAGCCCTGGTGGTGGTGATGATATGGCTTGGTCCATTGGAAGGGAGAAAATATTGTTGGCATTTTTTGTAATATCTGTGTCATTACACACATTCAAGAAGAACACATTCAAGCATGAAGCACAACAGCTAGCCTTGTATCACATTTCCAAAGCCGGCAGCATCCCGAGAATTGCTTCAGTTTTAGTCACCTTTGGCTAAAAACTCTTCATCAGAGTCTTTTTTGTTGGTTTGCTATTGGTTTCACTCCTGGCCATTCAAGTCTTCACCAGAGATTAGTTCTCCCATCAGCCTGCTATTGATGTAGGGATGCTTAAAACCTATTTACATTTTATCCTGTCCTTGCTCCAAGGAGTTTAAAGTGCCATACATGGTTTCCTCCTCACAACCTGTGAGGTGGATTATGTGGAAAAGAGAATGCCTGGCCCAGAGTCACCTGGTGAACTTATTGGCTGACTGGTACTTGGAATGCAGGACTTCCAACCCCTAGTTTGACAATCTAGCTGTTAACTACAATGGCCGCTGTCTCTCCCTGTTCCTACCCATTGGCCTGCCCTGGCCTCGGCTAGAGGACCAATGCTTTTTAAATCTAAAACTGGAACACCTCTCTTCACACACACACACACACACACACACACACACAAACCCTTCATGGTGTGCATACGACCTCTAGAAGTAATAGCACAAATTGGTATTGGTCCCCAGATAAAATTTCTAAATTTTATCCGGGCTGTTCCAGCCAGTGCTGGAAGTGTAATGCCAAAGTAGGGACCTTCTACCATATGTGGTGGAATTGTGGCAAAATACAAGATTACTGGAAAATGATACGAAAAATAGTGCAAGAAATAATGGATAAAAATTTAGCATTAAAACCTGAAATATATCTGCTTAATATGCTTCCAAATGGATATAACCAGCAAGAGAAATACCTGTTGTCATATATATTAACTGCTGCACGGTTACTTCTGGCAAAAAATTGGAAAAGTGATGTAATACCCTCAAGAGAAGATCTAGCATTGAAAATTTTAGAACTAGCACAAATGGATGATTTGAGCCTGAGGCTACAAAATAAGAATGAAAAGGTACATGATAAAAGATGGATAAAGGTGTATGTATGGATAGAAAACTTAGTTGATGGTTAATGACTCTAATGTATGGATAAATGTATATGTGGAATGTAAATAATGTTTATAGTAAAAAATAAAAACTTTATTTTAAAAAAATAGAAGTAATAGCACAAATGATACATTTCCCCCTATTTAGATACAGGCGTTGATGTAACTTTTGATATATGATATCAAATAACATTGATGTTGGAAATTTCCCATGTTCATAATCTATGCTGGAGCATTAGACACAAATGATCTGCTAAGTGATCATTTTCACTCTGTATTTAATTGATGCTTCATAGTGGGCCTTTGTTATTTCAAATGGCTTCCACAGTGGTTGAGCCAATCTCTTGGGAAATCCTTTATTTCTCACACACCAAAAAAAAAAATCACTACTTTAAAGAAGAAGAAGAGAAGAAACTGGATTTATACCCCGCCCTTCACTATCCAAAGGAGTCTCAGAGTGGCTTACAAACTCCATTCCAAGGATGCCACATGCATTCAGTCTCCTGTATACATTGTAAAATGTACTAAAATGTGCAGCTGAACCATTTGCACATAAAGGCAATGACATTAGACAACAAAAGCTACAAAATTCAGACTACTGGAAATCAGTTTGTGCTTTCCTTTTTGATCACGTAAAAGCATAGACCTACAAACGGATGCCACACGGCTAAGAGTTTGCATCAGGGCTTGGTGTTTGCTCAGCGGGACCTGACATGCTCCACTTCTAGGAAATGCCAGCTAATTAAAACCATCCTGGGAGTGGGAGAAGTGGTGGAAAGGACACTTAAGCACGCTCCTCTCAGAGCCACGGTTCAACTCTAAGCACTGAGGAGGATTGCCACCTTGCTCAGCAGGGGGTGCCCCATGAGGCTGCCCCTACCCACCACTCCCATCCCCACCCAAAAGCTAACATGTCTTCCCTCCTCATTCCCTGTGTGTCTTACAGCACAGCAAGCCATGTATGCCCAATAAGGCTGACCAAATTCTTGAGTCTTGTGGGATTGGGACAGTGGTGGCAAGGCCCCCCACATGTCCAGTGTCTGAAGCTACTGCCACACCTCACCACATTGTAAGGCCGGCCTGTATGGCTTCTCTCCTCCAAAGCACCTCTTTCCGCACCACTTTTTAGATGCTTGAGCACACAGATCTGGGTTCACAAACTTCTGTCTTCTGTGAAATGTCTAGCTGAGTTCTAAAAGAGATCCTGTTTCAGCTGGGTTTAAGAGACTGCATTAACTTTGTCTTGGGTAGCAGCTTTTAGGATAATATTTTGTTGCATAAATTTGACAGAGACCATGTCTAGTTATAGTCATGTCAGTTCTGAAGCATGGAGTCATATGGCATCTGTGCTTCCAATTCCCGTTCTCTCCGCATGGGAAAAGTTTAGTCCAGTCCAATAGTTTGAATTTGTACGGAACATTGTATTTACCGGTTTTTTATCTGATTGCTATTTTAACAAGTTTTGATGTGGAGTTGCTTAAAAAGACACACAAAAACAATTCTGAGAAACAAACCAATGGAATCCGCATCTAACTTTGCTGGAACCGCCTTTGACAAGCTGCCAGGTATTGACTGAAGCCGCTTTAAAGCGTCCTGGAGAAGTGGCAGAATATTCAACCATTAGAATCCCAAGGACGAAAGCCAACCCCAAACCCTCGACGCCTGTTTTTTGTTTTGCTATCATCATGGATTTTAGCTACGGTCTGAACTCTGGGCGAGCTGGAAGGCAGCCGATGCCAATTCAGTAGCACAGAATAAATGTACTATTTAGCCTACATAATTCAGAAGGCAAGTATGTCACCTTTCCTTCTGAGGTTATCTTGGGATCATCACAGTGTCCTTTCCCACTCGTTTACTGTTGTGGCATGGTCAGTCTTGCAGAATCACATGAAACTCTGCACTGAGGGCTATAGAGCAGTCCATGAACCAGGCCTGTACACCTCGTGGCTGGCAAGCCTGAAATGAAACACCAGCCATGCATGGCAACTCGCCATAAACTCCCAGGGCAATCTTCCTGTGAATAACGGTGTGTGGGGGAGAGTTGTTTGACAAGAACTTCGTAGGTTATACTGGGTTAGGGTTGCCAGCTCTGGGTTGGGAAATACCTTGAGATTTTTGGGGTGGAGTAGGGTTGCCAAATAATTCTTCGCCGGGAGCGGGGGGCTCCCGGCCGGTGTCGGGTGAGTGCGTGTGTGCAAAGCGCGCGTGCGCGCCGCGTGCGCATCACCCGGAAGTGACGTAGGCACGCTGGGCATGCTGGGGGTGGGGCCACGGCCATACAAGGGAAAACCATAGAGTTTTCCCTTGTATGGCCGTGGCCCCGCCCCCAGCGTGCCCAGCGTGCCCAGGTCACTTCCTAGTGATTCGCATGCAGGGGGCCGGGAACCCCCCGGGGCCCGATTCCATCGCTGTGGAAATCGGGCCTCCAAAGCGGGGGTTTCCCCACCCCCCGGCCTGATTTGGCAGCCCTAGGGTGGAGCCTGAAGAGGGTGGGGTTTGGGGAGGGGAGGGAGTTCAATGGGGTATAATGTCATAGAGTCCACCTTTCCATGTGGCCATATGCGAAATTGTTTACTATAATAATTATAGCATGTGAGCGATAATAGAAGAGAGCTTTCCACAGAATTATAATTATGATAGTAAACAATTTCGCATATATATCTTTATTGACTCTTCGTTATTTTTAGCACGGATGTTTTGTCTGGACTTCCATCTCCTCCCGTGATCTCTCACTTTTGGCTTTGACCACCTGGAGGCTGGCAGGCCTAGTCAGGTTGGATGTTAATGTCATCCCACAATTAACTGATTGTCCAAGCCTTTACCACCACAGTCTCTACAGTCACTTTGGGAACCTCAAGCCTGGATCTGAAGCCAGGACATAAAAACTACTCGTTTGTTGTTGTTATTATTAGTCCTAACACAGTATCATATCTAATTGTGAACACACAGCCTGAGATTTGAATGTGGGAGTAGGGTCACCAACCTCACATGAACACATGAAACTGCCTTATACTGAATCAGACTCTTGGTCCATCAGAGTCAGTATTGTCTACTCAGACCGGCAGTGGCTCTCCAAGGTCTCAGGCAGAGGTCTTTCAAATCACCTTTTAACTGGAGATACCGGGGATTGAACCTGGGACCTTCTGCATGCCAAGCAGA